CTGCCATTATAACATTGTTTTTAATTGATGAAGAGTTTTCTTTCTCTTTTGCACGTGACACAGGATTACTGATACTGCTGGAGGGAAAATCACTTTCCCTGTATTGTATGTTCTACAACCTTTGCCATGTGAAGAGGCAACTGTATCACCAGAGTATCAGTGACATGCTTGGATGACAGCTAGTGGGACACTGAGTCGAAAAGCCAGTGGCACAGGCCTGTGATCCTGCTACTCAGAAGATGAAGGCAGGAAGGGAACAAGTTTGAGGTCTTCTGGGACTATAGGAGGAAGTCAGGGTCAGTTTAGATAGCTTTAGTGAGACTATCTCAAACTTAAAGATACAAAAATTAGGTAAAGGGACCTGGGACTGTAGCTCAATGTTAGGGGACTTTCCTAGCATGTACAAGTTCAGGTTCCTCCAACCAACACAGAAAGTGTGAGGAAGTCTTGAGCTACAGTTGAAGGAAACTGGTTAAAAAGTAATTAGATAATGACTTTAATATTTTTAGTTTAATTTTTCATACAATATATTCTGATCATATTCTTATTCTTCTGGAACCTCCCTGGCTCCTTAATTACCTATCATGTTCTTTCTCAAAACAAAACAAAGCACACATGTGTGCACACACACACACACACACACGCAGGCATGCACATACAAAACAACAACATAGAGTCCATTTTGTGTTGGCTGACTACTCCTGAGCCTGAGTATAGTGATCCATTGTCACTCCACTAGAGAAAGTGGATTTTCTCTCTCCTACCAATCAATTGGAAGCATTGTCTCTAGCATTGTTATCAGGAGCCTAGGATGGCTTCATACCTTCAATTTTATCCTAAAGCATCAGGTCTTTGGTTGTGGCATTTGAACAGTGCAATGGTGTTGGTTGAGAATCTACCACAAACCTATGCAAATTTATGGGGAGAGATTTGTATATTTTTACATTCTTTTTGAACCCTCACACCTCCCATACTCACAGGAATCAAGCCCTGGGCTGCACAAAACCCAGGAATGAAAAGAATTCTATCAGCAAACTAAAACTATCTACAGCTGACTTCTATAGTATTGAAAAAAAAAAAGGACCTGGCATGATAGGAAATTGAGATATTTTTGAATGTTCAGAATTGAGCTGATACTTATCTGGCCAGCCTCCTGCCTTCCACATCATGTGCTAGAGATTTTTTTTGTATCTTGCAATTTTCTATCCTTAAAGTAGATATTTTCCCTCTATTCCTGCCCACTTGTTCCCCTTTCTCCCTCCTTCCCTTCCTTCTTTCCAGGAATTAGGAAATAGGTTTTTTTTTTTTGAGATCCAGACTTACATGACCTAGGTACACAGATTTAGGTTACCCTAAATTTCATATTCCAACATGGAAGCAGTTTCATGAAGTTTTACATTTTTGCAGAATAAAGAAGACTTTTATAAATCAAGCCCAGTTTAAAATCTTTTGGTGACTGTACCAGAGAGGTGGTCACAGCAATGTAGGAAGCCTTGCTTCCTGTCTTTGTAATACTCTTAGCTTTGGGGTTGGTAGAAGTTAGTGGTCTGGTAACTTAGATTTCAAACTGTTTTATCTATTAGTCCCAGGGTGTTGGTTCAAACACAGAAACAGGCAGGGGAATGGCTGTTCATGGGGCTAAAGCTTGCTTAAAATGAGGTAATTACCTTCTGAACCTGCAACATTCCGACCGGTCTGCATCACCACAGTCAATCAATTTTTGCAGAAATAGCTTCTTTCCAGGCATCCTCATGGATAGTTCCTCTTATTGACCAAGTACCACATGTTGAGCATGCAGGAGCCATATAGTATTTATTAATATAATATTAATATTTATTAAATATTATAAGGTCTCTCTTAGCCAGGAGGCTTATTCCAAGGGTCTGATGTCAATGAGGCTAAATTGTACCACTTGTCCTCTTTCTGAGAGATGCCTTTATGTATATGTCTGTGTGACTGTTTTTGATGATTCCCTGGCAGAGGATAGAGAAAAGTGATAGGCTATCTTTGCTAACCTCACTGGTGTACAATAAATGTCCATTGTCACAGTGAAGATAGGGCTTTTTTGTTAGGGAGCCTACCTTGCACTGTGACAACTCTGAGGTTGATGAGAACACACACACACACACATATACACATACACACACATACACACATATACACACACACACAATTGGGGATGTGTCCATATGATGGCTATGTTTTGTGGGGTAGGGGGAATTCTTATGAACCCCACCCCAACCCTGTCCTGTAGGCATCCAAGTAGTGCTCAGAAAAGCCTGGGTCTTGACTCCTTTAGTGTTTATTTCCAAAGGATACCTGATGACCTATAACTTGTTTCTTTCCATTTAATTTGAGTAGGAAAAAAATTCACTTTTTTACTACTCTTTCTGTTTAAATTAAACTTACCTTTTAAAGTGTCATATGTGTACTATATTGTGTACTATATATGTATGTGTACTGTATATGTGTACTGTACCACAGTTCTCTGCATTTTGACCAGTTGTGGGTTTCTTTGTCTTCTACTGATACAAAAAGAATCTTCTTGTATATGAGCTAGACCTATCTGTGGGTATAAGGATAAGTATTTAGAATGTAGCCAATAATTATTTAAGTTTAGGGAAGTGGAAATAGTAGGGTCTCCTTTAAAATCCGTGACCTTCACTAGCCACAGATCAGGTTTGCAGTACTGGTCCTCAGCTCCTTCCTGCCGAGTAGCCCTTATGACCAATGAGACAGCCACTGTTACCACTAAGATGCTAGTGCCACTGTTGTGTCTTTAGGGATATTTTGCCATGCTGATTATTGTCATAGTTTGTTAAGTACCACAGCTGGGTAGGACTACTGATTGCTTTTCTCCTTTGGCCATTTGCATAACACATTTCAGTCCTATAAAGAATAGCCCTCAAAGGAAACTTTAGTTTCATTCCTCTGAGTCCTGTGTTCAAAGGCTGTGATGTCTTCAACAATAAAAACTTACCTTCAACTTCAGGGAGGCAACCAGAGGCAACAGTAATGCCTTATATTGTTTGGGGAGTTACTTGGACTCCTGGACCAACAGCTTTAAAGGAGGTTTCTTATGCCTGGTACTGAGGATTTTGTTAGTCTATAGCTCATTGGGGGAGCATTATTACCCCCAAGTACTATACATACATGCACATGCGTGCACATGCGTGCGCATACACACACATAGCACATATTTATAACCCATATTATATAAGTTTTAGGTAAAAGTAAAATATGATATTCTGTGACTATTTCAAACAATGTAGCCTTTCCCCACCAGGTGACAGAGTAAAGCACTGCATCTTAGTTTCAGATGCAAACACTGATCTTAGTGTTTTTAATCTTTCTTCTGTCCCTGCTTAAAGCTCCTTCTGGCTTTTCTTAGTTCCCCCTTCATATGACCTGTAACCCTCAATCCCAAGATGACACAGTGATGTATGTGAGCATCATGTTAAATAATTTTTATATTTTACACCCTGATAGAATTATTTTGTTGGTATATGATTATATTTGTCTGTTCTCCCCATACATATTTCTTGTTGAATGAGAAACAAAACCAAACATGGAACCGTGGCTTTGCTATTATTTTTACAGATTTGATTTATTCTAAGGATTTATTTCTTAGAGAGTTTTGGATAAGTTCCTGGGTTTGTGATTTTTTTTTTTAAAAAACTCTGTTCTTTTCTGTGTAGCCCGTCATCTGTTTATTTACAGTTACAGTTTTTGTCCACGTCTTGTTTTGTCCCTACTCATCTTCTTTCTTTCTCCTTTGAACACACTACTCACTGGTTGGTTGTAAACTCCAAGACATAAATATCCCTAACTTGAGGAAATGTTACCTGGATCGGTTCCTCTAGCTCTTCCCCCAACCAGAACATAGCAGATTGCTGTTGAACTTTGAATGTCACCAACAGACAGATGAGAATCCTTAAGATGGATAATGAAATGCTTGAAACACAGATGGGCTCATAAATCAGTTTTCATTTTCTTAGGACTTCCTTCTGACACAGAGAATCAATGTAATTAACACTGGTTTCAGACCATTATCATCTGAGTGATATCTCTATGGCCCTATTACCTAACAGCTCCATTTATTGGATGACTGCTCGATGCAGTACTTTGGTCTGTCACTTGAGGGGGGGAAGGCTACATTGAAGTCTTTACTAATAGGTAGTTATTTGGGGTTTTGTTGGTTTTGTTGGTGGTGATGTGGGGTGTGTGTGTATGCATGCACGTGCATGTGTCTGTGGTGTGTGTGCGCGGGGGGGCACGGGGTGGTGGTGGTGGTGTTGTATGGAGACGTAATATATAGATGAAGTCTACAGAATCCATCCACCTTTGTTATTGAGACAGGTGTGTCACTGGTCAGGAATTTACCATGGAGGCTAGAGTGGTTGCCCAAAGAGCTCTCTGATCACCTGTCTTTACTTCCCTAGCCAAGGTTGCTATGTCAAGCCCACCATCCTGGGTTGCTCTATGTGTTTTTAGGGATTGAAATCAGATCCTCAAACTTGTGTGACAAGCACTTTACTGACCTTGAGTCCTGTTTGTGGAGCCATGGTGTCAGTGTATAGCTCAGATGGTCCTACCACTCAAGATTGTCTGCCTCTACCTCCTAAGGATTGGGAATATAGGTGTTTACTTCTACACGCTGCAAAACTTACTTATTTGAAAAGCAAATCTTCTACAGTACTCAGTAACCATGGTCTAAAAGGGGGCACCCAAGAATTCCATGTGCATTATTCATGTTATAGGATTAACAGTGCAAATTAAGGAGGAAAGTACATGAAATTGAAGGCAGAGGTTTTAGGAAATACCAGGAATAGTCAAGCTCAATTGGGTACAGAATCAAATAGAAAAGCATTGTAGGGTTTTGTTACTGTTAGTGTCTTTTTTTGTTTTGTTAGAACAGAGTCAGAGGGCGCTGAAGGTACAGGTGATATTAACCTGATTTTTATTTTCAGATAACAGGCCGCTTTCTGCTTTATCTCCAGCATCAGCCACTGGCCAAGATGATGATGGTAGTGCTCATTCGCTGTATGTCCCAGACCACTACTCTACATTAGGAAAGCTTGATAGCTATCAGTCCACTGGGCAATGCTTGGAAACCCGGGACTCCAGCTGTCAGACCGAAGAAGTGAAAGTCATCCCACCATCAATGAGAAGGATCAGGGCTCACAAGGGGATAGGCATTGCTGCCCAGATGAGCCACCTCTCAGGTTCCTCTGGCAACATGTCTGTGCTGAGTGACTCAGCTGGTATCATGTTCCCATCTCGCCTCAATAACGATGCTGGTTTCCACAGTCTTCCTCGTACTGTCACAAGAGCAAGCACCTATTCACTGGAGGCAAGGATGGGTGCCCTGGGCTCTGCTGAAGATGTGGATGACACTTTTCCCTACCAGAGGAGTAACTCACAGGGGCATGAAAACTTTGCACATTTAGGAGGAGCCTTGAGTACTGGGATGCTTTCAAGACCCAGCTCCCAGCTGAGGTTCTTGGAGAGTCCAGCATGCGTGGTTTCACCTCATGCAGCCTACTCTACCAGCGTCATCCCAAATGCTACACTACTGTCCTCTTCAGAGGTCATTGTCATTCATACTGCTCAGAGTGCAGGACAGCTGGACAGTAGAACACCTGGCTCATCTTCATACTCAAAGATAAAACCCAGAGACAGTCCTCCACCCAGATGTTCTGTGAAAGATGACCATCAGTCCCCCTGTCATCACTGGAACGAGGGTCATATCATTCATTCACAGGCTTTAGCCTCCTCTGCCCCCAGTGCCACCACACTGTTATCCCTCCATGATTCAGAGGTCTCTCTAAATGCCCCAACAAATAGGGAGAATGGATCCCAAGCCATACTCTATCATTGTAGAAACAGCCTGAGCTTTCCTGCCCACCCTCCAGATGTGGATGGCAAAAGCGAGTATAGTTATTCAGGAGACAGGGGATGTGGCACTTCTGAGCCCTGGGAATATAAAGCCTCCACCAATGGGCGGGCATCCCCACTGAAACCACAACTGGCAACTCCTGGTTGCTCGACTCCCACAAGTAACATGAGCAGCTGCAGTTTGGACCAAACATCTCTCAAGGAAGATGCCAGGTCCTTGTATTCAGAGGACCACGATGGTTATTATATGACCACGCAGAGTGATTCTAGACACGAGGCTGGGAACTTGTACAGTATCAGTGATGAGTTTGAGAACTCCAGGCACAGCATGGTCAATGTTTTTGATGGAAGGGCTCAGAGAAGCCAAGGGGATCAGGCCACTCACCAGGATAAAATCCTTTCGAGAAACATCTCTCTGAAGAAAGCAAAGAAACCACCCCTGCCACCATCCCGGACCGATTCTCTGCGAAGGATTTCTAAGAAGAACAGTCAGACAAATGGGCAGCTGCTCAATGAAAGCCTGATCGCCTCCCTCCAACATTCCCTGCAGCTAAGCCTCCCTGGCAAGGGTAGCAGCTCCCCTTCCCAGAGCCCCTGCAGTGACTTTGAGGAACCCTGGCTCCCCAGGTCCAGAAGCCAGAGCATCATTAGCGAGGGTAGTAGCATGACCTCCACCACCACTCCCAACGTGTATTCTCTGTGTGGGGTCACTCCATCTCAGAGCGACACAAGCAGCGTCAAGTCGGAATACACGGACCCTTGGGGCTACTACATTGACTACACAAGTTTGCAGGAAGATCCAGGGAACCCCACAGGGGGCTGCTCAGCCACCAGTGAGGCATCAACTGGAAATGGGCCAGTCTGCCACATCCAGGAGGGGTCGAGAGTCCCAGTGCCCCAAGTGCCGGGCTGCTCAGTTAAACCAAAGATTACCTCACCAGAGAAGTCACAGAGAGTCACCTCTCCATCCAGTGGGTATTCTAGCCAGTCGAATACACCCACGGCACTCACCCCGGTGCCTGTGTTTTTAAAATCAGTGTCACCAGCAAATGGAAAGGGGAAGGCCAAACCCAAAGTTCCTGAAAGAAAATCGTCTCTGATCTCTTCTATGTCGATCTCCTCGTCGTCCACTTCTCTCTCCTCTACCGAAGGAAGTGGTACCATGAAGAAGCTGGATTCAGCCCTGGCCTCAGTCATTGCTCCTCCCCCTCCTCCTCTTCCCCCTCTGCCTTCTCCGTGTCTGGCAGACAAGTCCCCTTTTCTTCCACCACCTCCTCCTCTAGCAGACTGCTCCGAAGGTTTTCCTCTGGTGGAGGGTTTCCCCCCTCCACCACCAGAAGCCCTTGTTCCCTTCTGTTCTCCCACTGACAGGTGCCTTTCTCCTTCTACCATAGCAGTTAGCCCCTCTCTTCCAAGATCCTCATCTCCCTTGCCAGCACCTCCACCTTTCTTGCCCCCTTCAGAACCCCCACCCGCTCCGCCTCTGGACCCCAAATTCATGAAAGAAAGTAGGCCCTTTTTCAAAAACTCTAGCCAGTCCCAATCCTCTAGGGAGGCCCTCAGGCGGCCTGCCAACAAGGAGGAGAGCTGTCGGCACCCCATGCCCCTGATCACCACCGAAGCTTTGCAGATGGTGCAGTTGAGGCCAGTGAGAAAGAACTCAGGTGCCGAGGCAGTCCTGTTTTCTGAACCATCAGCTCAGGAACAACGAACTCCGACTGCTCCACAGTATCACTTAAAGCCATCTGCTTTCCTCAAATCCCGAAATAGCATAAATGAAATGGAGAGTGAAAGCCAGGCTGCCTCTGTGACGAGCTCGCTTCCGATGCCTGCCAAGAGCCAGAGTCAGGGTGACCATGACAGTGCAGTCGAGCGTGGGGGCCTTCAGAGCTGCAGTGATGGAGCTCCAGGCCCGGGTCCCAGCCTCAGGACCACTCTGCTCCCAGACTCTTCACCCAGCAGAAAGCCACCCCCCATCTCCAAGAAGCCCAAACTGTTCCTGGTGGTACCACCTCCACAGAGAGATTTCACAACGGAGCCCACAGAGAACGGGAGCGAAGCTTTCCCAGGCGTGCCCAGCCCTACCAGGGCAAACAGGGAAGCTGTGCATAGCCAAGAGGAGAAATCCAGCCCACCATCCCGAGCTGGCTCTCATGCTACAGCCCCCACCCCTGGCAGTCCAGCGTTAGAAAGAGGAACTGCAGGGTCCTTGTCCTCTGGCATTGTGGAAGCCAATGCCCCCATGGTCCAACCTAGTACATCACCGGGGTCCACACAGGAAGAGTCGGGCGAGAACAGCGTGGATGGTGAGAGAAATGCGAAGAGCTGCCTGTCTCAACAGGGCCGAGAAGGTAAGCCTGGCTGCTTTCTGCTGCACTCCTCTGATCCTCTGGAGATGAGCCAAATAGGGCTACTGAATACTCATGGAACCAGGTGAAGCAGCCTAGACTTCGGCAAAAGCCTGCAGTGTGTGGGTTTCTTACACGTCATTTCCCAAGCTGCTTTGTGAAAAATTTAAAAACTCTGGATCCGAGAGGGGTGGGGGTAGAGGTGCCGGGAGGTCTGAAGCAGGCTGGGTATTCAGTAGCAGGAGTAATCTCCCTTCGGAAGGGCTACAAAGAAACACTCTTAACCAAATTTAAGAGCAATTTAGACAGGCTAGTGAGTATCGTTTCTACCTCTCTGTGTAAAACCTCAAAGTGGTTCTCACACTGTCAGGAATGGCAGCTAAATGGCGTTTTTCAGAGCCAGGCAAAGGACTGAAGTGCTAGTCACAGTGTCTAGTGTTTGTCTGCCTTTCCTCTCTCTAGCTGGGTTGCTGGAACCCAACACAACTGCTGCTTCTTCAGACACCGTGGACCTATCTAAGGAAGAAGGAAGCGATGAGGTGCTGACTCCCACTAAACCCAGGACAACAGAAGACTTGTTTGCAGCCATTCACAGGTATCCCAAACTTTTGTCATATTTTAATATACTTTATAATTTCTTCTTTCTGGACAGGCTCCTCTGTTTTCTTGAGGTTTTGTCTGTCAGCTAGCCACGGTTTATTTAACATTACTCATTTTTAAGTGTTTTTCTTATACTTTAATTACCTTTTAAGTTTGATTTCTGCTTTACTTTGTTCCATTGATTTTTATGATGACATTGAGGACAGAATGTGATACCTTCTGGTAGATGCAGCTGTGGCTGGCAAGATACCTATTGTGTCAGTCATGTGACCGAATGTTTACAAGATTTGGATCCCGTCTGGGATGAGGAATGCTGCATTCTGTGGACGTAGGGTACATAGACTGGCACTATAGAGCACCTTCCTAAGAGTGCTTCAGTTGATTTATTTATTGTTCCTTTTTTTGTAATGTCATAGTGCTTTTTTTTTTTTTGCCTCGGTCAATATTTTTTGAAGACTTTGTTTCTTTTTTGGTCTCTTATCTCTCAGCAACTCAGATCTACACCTGTCCAACTTTATGTTCTCCCTCTCTCTCTCTCTCCCTCTCTCCCTCTCCACCAATACAAATTGGAGTCTATGGTTTTTAGTGGCTCTTAATTTTTAAAAGGGGTGGAAGGGGGGGGGAGACACTCTTTAAATTTGTTACTGTATACCCCTAGCGCCATCTACTGGCTTTTCAAAAAAACAGTTGCCTTTTCAAAGGGAACTACTTGTTACTTGGTAACAACTGATGGTTACCTTGGAGTGTAATTGATTTAGTAATTCAGCTTTGCTTATTACATCACTTGGCTATATACAGATGACTGTGCCCCCACCCTACAGTGGCATCATAGTAGAAAATGATAAGATTCAGATATGTACAAGAACTTAAAGAACCAATGTTGTGTAAGGGAACCAACCCTCTTGCTGCTTAGATTTCCTTACTACCAGGTTTTCAGATAATTCCTGTGAATACTTCTCTGCTCTTAAGACATTGTTTTGACCTGAGTGACCATCCTTTATTTTCTTTCTGGTCCAAGTACCCTATAAAATCATTTGATTCCCAGTATAAATAACCTGTGTCAGCAAGCTCTCAAATTCTGGTGTTTCTGAGCCTAAGCAAAAAGACTTTTGCATTCAGTAGAAGAAAGTCCCATCCTTACCTAACTCTGTGCAACACAGAAACATCTAACGTGAGGATCCAACCTGGAATGTGAGTTAGCACATTGAGTTGACAAAGAATCGTGTGCAGCACTCCTCTTGGCTTTGTTTCACTTGTTGGGTGCGGTGTTGGTCTAAAAGGCCCTACAGACCAAACCTGTTGCCTCATTGGTTTCTTTGATCTCATTAGAAATAGAAAGAGAGTGGGGCTGAGGAGAGTGACTGCTCTTCCAGAGGTCCTGAGCTCAATTCCCAGCAACCACTTGGTGGCTCACAACAGTGGGATCTGATGCCCTCTTCTGGTATGTCTGATTACAGCTACAGTGTATGCATATAAAAGAAAGGGGGGGGGAATGAAAAGAAAGCTAGCTACCCAGAAAATAAGAAATGCGTCTTTTGAAAGCAAGAAAATAAAGTCACATTTGTAGAGGTTTATACTGATGTTCCTGGACACATAATAAACACTTAATAAATATTTTCTGAATTAGATGAATCCAATTGGAACTTAACTGTCTGGAAATTCTTCTGAGACCTTAATGCCTTTCACTTAGTATGGAATGTACTGAGTTTCTAAATATACAGGAAATCTGTATTTGTAATCACAAGCCACAGAGATGTGTGTTGCCAAGTTGCTGTGTGTACTAAATACTCTGTCTTAAGGAAACCCAACTGTTGCAGAGCCATGTTATTGCAGATTTTTTTTCTAAAAATACACCAAAGGGCTCTTCTATATTTTATTTTGGCAACCTTCAGAAGGCATTAAAGAATGTGTGATTTCTGCTACAGAGACAGTGCTATTACAGATACAGAAATCATTCAGATTCTGTTATTCTCTGTACATGTGGGAGAATTAACAGCCAAGTAGCCTTAGAAGTAGATTGAAAAGAGAAAGCTCAGATACATGTTGATTTCTGTTGTGGCACTAATACAGAATTAGCAGGTGTAATCAGAATCCATCTGAATTCTGGGTCATTTAGAATTTTCATAAGACAATCCAAATAGAAGCATAGCTTTCGAGTTCTATAATAATGCAAATTAATTCTCTTCATATTTACAGCCAGATGGAGAGTGTAGAACACCTTGAGGTGTGAAATTTTTATATTTATTGAAGTAATTAGACTTTAAGCCATTTTTAACTATTTAAATGTCATCTTTAGAAACACACATATACAGAAGGGGGGAGAATATATATGCAGAGATATCAAAAGTTAAAATTTAGTTCAATTTGTAAGAGGTAGCTGCCCCTGAGAACACCAGTTTTGTTTTGTTTTAAACTTGCTATCTCTTTTCATTCTATATCTACAATTAAATGCCTTGAATTTCATAGAGCACCACTATGCCGTTTTACATCTCAGTACAATCAAAACATTTTACCACAGGCTTGTGGTCCTTGACTGAAATACCTAAAAGATTGAGAAGAGCAGAGTTTCTCTGGTGGGTAGTCAGTGTTAGCAATATAGACTTGCAGTTACGTGGATAGAAGATCTGTCGAGACTGAGTGGTACTCTGTGTGTGTGTGTGTCTGTGTGTGTCTGTGTGTGTGTCTGTGTCTGTGTGTATGGTCATTGTCTAGATTTCAGGGTTTTTTTTAATACTCAGTTAGACTAGACCCTTTCTAAACTGTTTTCCAGCTGTTCTTATATCATTCATTACTCTCATTGAACATTGAGCAGAATAGTTGAACAAAAATACTTTTGGCCACATGGGGGATCTGGTCTTTAGAGGTAAATAATATCAGAAGCTCTTGGGCTCATCTTTAATGATGGTGTGTGTGTGTGTTCGTGTTCGTTCAGTAAGTGGTCTCAGGAAGATGACAAGTGATTGAAGCAAGTGTTGCCAAGGATTGATCATTATTTTAATTTTGTTTTATTTCAGATCCAAAAGGAAAGTCCTTGGTCGGAAAGACTCAGAAGATGATCATACTCGAAATCACTCTCCCTCCCCGCCTGTGACACCCACGGGTGCTGCCCCTAACCTGGCCTCTCCAAAGCAAGTAGGGTCCATCCAGAGAAGCATAAAAAAGAGCACTACCAGCAGTGACAACTTCAAAGCTCTTCTGCTAAAGAAGGGGAGTCGCTCGGACACCAGCGCTCGCATGTCAGCGGCAGAGATGCTCAAATCCACGGACCCTCGATTCCAGAGATCTAGGTCAGAGCCTTCGCCAGACATCCCGGACAGCCCATCCAGCTGCTCCCCCAACAAGAACAAGAGAGCTCAGGAGGAGTGGGCCAAGAATGAAGGCCTGATGCCTCGGAGTCTGTCCTTTTCCGGTCCTCGGTACAGCCGCAGCAGGACCCCACCTTCTGCAGCCAGCAGCCGGTACAGCATGAGGAACCGCATCCAGAGCAGCCCCATGACAGTCATCTCTGAGGGAGAGGGAGAACCTGCTGAGCCAGCAGACAACAAAACACACAGGGCCCTGGACACTGCCAGTCGATGCTCTCTGGACAGACTGGCGGGGCAGGAGATGGACCAGGACAGCCTGCTCTGTATCGAGGAGCCTGCCACTGTGGATGGGATAGGAAGGGCTGAGGGCAATGGTCCCTCAGAGCAGTGTGAGGGTACTGAACAGAAGAGTTAGTATCAGAACCTGCCTCTCATAAATGAGGCAGGAAGGTGAGCTATGCATCACTCTAGGAAGTCTCTGTGGCCTTTTCCTGTCTTGTGGGGACCCCACTCAGCATTGGTGTTGGAGAGTTCTCAGCCTTGCGGCTCTCTTAGGACTCACTCGCCATGTGACTTAAAAGCAAGTAGAAGCTTCAACTTCTGAAAGTGCTTCCTGGGGAAGATGGTTTTTTTTTGTTTGTTTTTTTGGGTTTTTTTTAGTTTGTTTTTTGTTTGTGTGTGTGTGTGTGTGTGTGTGTGTGTGTGTGTGTGGTTTTGTTTTTCCCAAAATGCTGGGTGTGTGTATATGTGTGAATTTTGAATACTTCATTCTAACAAATACACTCACTAACGTTATGTATAGAAATAGGAGAAAAGGTCAGAGTTCAGGTAGAGTAATGGAGTCCTCTGGGCCAGGGTGGAAACTGCTTTCAAGGCATTGAGGGTATGGGAATGTGTAAATTCACTAAGAAGAGACTGGAGACTGTTACTTCTAACAGGTGGTGGGCTGGTTCTAAGTATAGAACATGGCTGTGTGTACACTTACTCTAGTTCAAGACACACAAGGAAACCATGAAGGGGCTGGGAAGTGGCTAAGCAACTCAATGTTTCAGGTACTTTTAGGGGAAAGGGGAGGCTTTGCTTCCTCCTCTTCCTCCTCCTCTCCCTCCTCCTCCTCCTCCTCCTGCTCCTCCTCCTCCTGTAAAAATTACACAAATGGAAGTGGCAGGGCTGTGTCCTGTGCCTACTGCATACATACCTAGCCCTGATGTCAGAAGCACAGGTGGGGTTGTTTTGCTTTTGTTTGTTAATGAATTCCCTCCTAAGTTGTTATTGAAGAATGAGACAAGAGAGGCATCATGAGAGGAGCCGAGATGTCTCATGAGAGAAGGGTAGGGGAGTGAGTGATACTGCTGGATTTGTTTCCTGCTTATTAAATAAAATATTTTCAGAATTAAATCAGAAAACATGGGACTGTAGAATTATGGGTGAAGCTTTTCTTTTAATGAGTTGTTTTGTTTTAAAATCAGAGTTTTAACTTCCATGTGACAGTTTATCACTTGAAATGTGACACTTGCCCTTTGCTCCGTTTGGTTATACCAAAGAAAAATAATATGGCTCTTTTTCACCCCTGAACTTTCACCCCTGATACTTACAGCATCATGTTTTACTTTAGAACATTTACCAGAATCTATTATATATTATCTTACTTTGAAGAAAACAACTCTTGTTAGTAAAAAAATTGATGAAAATTGGTAGGGCATGGCTAGCAATTAGCCCTGGGAAATGAGTTTTTAGATTAAAAAGATTTTTTTTTTTTGCACTGCTCAGTTTGTGTGATTTTATATTTGTTTATGAGTTGGGTTGCTGAGTCCCTTCCAGGTGCCTCCCGTCAGAATTCCAAACATGCTTCGAATGGGGATTAAAGTGTGCAAACATATTTATTTTAATGACATCCTTGTGATCCTTACCCACTTCCAGGTTCTGTGGATTCAGATAAAGCACACTCTACCTTTGTCTCACAGTGGTTACACTGAGCTTCTAAAGCTGCTAACAGTTGCCGTTGACAATGTGTGACAGTATCTGGAAGTTAAACCACATGAGCCAAGGCATTGTAAGGCTTCTTCCACAGAACCTTTGATAGCCATTAATGATACATCTCTGAGGACAGAATTTAGCAAACAAAGCATTTCTTGCAGCTACAAATAACGACCTGACATGTGATCACAGAGATTTTTTTTTAATCTGTTGTGTCATTTTTCAACTGTGTGGGGCACACAGATAATTTCTTGTAAATCTTAGAAAGGCCATGTTGACATTTGAATACCTAAAAAAAGATTAGAATGTATATGGATATCAGAAATCTTAAACTTGATATATCAATATTTGCTTGAAGCCAAGATAAACAGCATTAGAACTAATTATAAAATGATTTTAAATCCCCCATTTAAAGGGTATTTATTAGGTTTTAAGTTTGTTTTCAATAAAAACAATTGTAAAGCCAATATTTGAAACTTCTTTGTATGTACATTTAATTTTTTAAGCTTTCATGGAAGGACATATTGTATACTGGACATATTTTCTCATACACATTCCCCTTTACTCTTTTCTCCATCTCTCATTAGTTGCCTTGTTCCCTTGGACAGTTTAATTCCTACTTTTCATGTATACACAGTTTTGAATAACCAGAACATTCTATTACTACAGAATTGTTGAGTACATTACTGGATACTAAGTGACCAGTAGTAAAAACCCAGGCCATGTCTTGGGGGTGAGGGGGCTGGGAAAGAAGAACAGTATCACAGGCTCTGGCTGGTACTTCTAAAGACATAAGGAAGAACATCCAAAGACATCACCCTAAAGTGTGAGTGATGGATGGTCACTTATTTGGGGTGGTATGTGGAGGGAAAGGAGAACTTTTGGCAGATGCAAGTAGAAGTATGTGCTCTCAGCTTTGCTGATATTTCCTGTGTGAGGACCACTTCTGCTTGTGGGCTGGATCCTACTACATGAGAGCAAACTGAGCAGCGCTTCTCATACCCAAGAGCTGGAGAAGCCCCAGGGTTAAACTTCCACTTCATTTTTCTGAGAATTAGAGAGAAATAAATGAGTATTTGGTTTGTCTGTTGGAAACAGTCTTAACTTTGGCTTTCCATGCTCTGAGAATTTCTGAAGAATTTTAATTGAAACCTGTCACCTTTCATGTGGGGACAATGAAATAATATTTCACTGAATAAATATAATATCTCAATGAATAAATATACATTAAATTATATAAAATATATATTTATATAATAAACTTGTTATTTATAATATACATATTTCCTTCCATATTCATGACTTCTGTATCCATGAAGCCAACAAACTACACATCAAAACTATTTGAAAAAACATGGAGTGGGCTTGCCTTTCATGTATGAGGCTCATATCAGACCATTTGTTCATTTGAGGAACCACAATGGAAAGAAAAAGGGGCATTTCAGCATCTCCATTGTCTTCAGTGATGCACTACACTCTGTAGCAGTATCCTGGGAGGTACGTGGCATACTAGATAAACCCCATTGTTTGTGCATGAATGTTTGTTCAGCCTACATGTGAATAAATGTTTATATTGATGAGATTCAATCATTTACATATTATGGATGTTGCTAGCTCTGCCATCTTTATAACATGGTGGTTCTTATAGGATCTAAGAAACAACAATTTGGGGCACAATAGCACAGCCCCATGTTTCAATCTCTCCCAGCATCTTACAGTATTCCAGAAGATATTTGTATGTCTTATATAATTCTTATAGTTAGAACTTGCTTTTAGGGCCCCAGGAACCTGTGCTGTAGTTCTATTTCATGCATCAGAGAGACAGACAGAGATAGAGAGATGGAGAGACAGAAACAGAGAGAAAACATCCACATCCAAATGTGTATGCATGTAGAGGTCAGAGGTTTGATGTTGAATGTTGTCTTCAATTGCTCTCCATCTTAGTTTTTGAGAAAGGGTTTCTCATTGAAACTGGAGCTTGCTTGATGGAGCATGGCTCTTTAGCCAGTGAACATCAGGGATCTGCTTGTCTCTATGTCTCTGGTCCTCTGAACTCAGGTGCTTATGCTTGTGTGGCAATCGCTTTACCAGCAGAACCATCTCCCTCCCATCTGATGTCACCACTACACGCTAAACCTGGTCTGTTGTTTGTTTTCTTTATCAAAAATATTTCCAATGCCACAGCATCTACCAAACCATATGGTCCAGGTGGCTAAACACTTATTTGGTCCTAGTTAATGATGCTGTAAGTTGCTTTTGGTTATGGTGCTTTATCACAGCAACAGAAAAGTAACAGAAACAAGGAGTTCAAGACAAGCCTAGATTAGAGATCTGATCTTTAAAAAAAGGGGGGGGGAGATATATATCGGCCTCACTAGTTTTAGGTTCCCCCGTTTGATTCTGTCTAGCTGTCACAGACCTGGCCTGGTTGGACATTTGCTGGTAGTTAGCTAGTTTTAGAGCCCACAGTTGACCTTTAGACTTTTCTGCTTGGCTATATGTTAAGGACTTGTAATAGTTGATTTTTGCATCTGTGCCTTTGTGTGCATGCACATATTAATGTGTGTGTGTGTATGCATGTGCGAGCACATGTGGAAGTCAGAAGACCACATCAGGTGTTACACCTCAAGTATGATCACCATAACTTTTTGTCGTTGTTGTTTTTTGTTTTTCGAGATAGGGTTTCTCTGTAGAGCCCTGGGTGTCCTGGAACTCACTCTGTATACCAGGCTGGCCTTGAACTCAGAAATCTACCTGCCCCTGTATCACAAGTGCTGGGATTAAAGGCATGCGCCACCACTGCCCAGCTCACCATAACTCTTTGAGACAATGATTCCAATTGGCCTGAAACTCATGACGTAGGCTAAGCTGACTGACCAATCCTCAGCCATCTACCTGATTCACCTCCTCATCAGTAGGATTACAAGTGTGAACAGCTACACCCGGCATTTTAAAAATGCTTCTTGGAATTGACCTCAGGTCCTCCTTGTGATTTTAAGTTGTTTATTTTCTTGAGGTGCTGGAGATAGGACCTAGGCTCTTCAGTATAGTGGGTGTGATAGCTAATCCTGATTGTTTACTTTATACACCTGGGAAGAGGGAGCCTAATGGAAAAATTGCATTCATCAATTTGACCTGTGGGCATACCTGTCAGGGCATTTTTTGGATTGCTAGTTGAAAGGGAAAGTCCCTGCCCACTGTGGGCAGTGCCGACCTAGGCAGATGAGCCTCGGTTGTACAAGAACGGTAGCTGAACGGCCCAGAAGTGGCAGCAAACTCCTAAGCAGTGTTCCTCCATGGTCTTTGCTTCATGTTCCTCCTCCCTTGGCTTCCCTCTATGTGATGTGGAAATGCCACCTGAAATAAACAGTTTTCACCAAGGTGCTTTTGACCATGGAGTTTATCACAGCTATAGAGAGGACACAGGCAACACTGTATCACTGAGCCCTTGTTTGTTAATGACTTACCTGTAAGACATCAAACTAACTCAGAAACAATCTTTCTAGTCTACTGATCTTGTATTTTTTATCCACCCCTTCTCTCCTGTCATAGATAAAAAGAATCATTGACCTGTCATTCCATTTCTCTGCACCAAAGATGCTACCATATCAGCTTACTAACTGGACAGCTGTTGGTACCAGAGGCTATCTACACCGCCTTTCCAAATGCTGTCTTTCCACCTATGGTCTTGAACTGTTCATACCAGTTAAACCAGTTTGGAGCTTATCTAGAGTTAGAACAAAAATGTGTGTGTGGTGATGTCACACATCTGAAAGGACAAGGTGAAACAAAATGTAGAAGAGAGCTCTGACTGCCACACATGTCCAGTAGTTTCTCTACCAGCCCAGAAGGGAGCTTCAGAGCAAAGACTGCTTATTGGAGGAATCCCAGATTGGGCAGAAGTGGATAGGTCTTGCATCCCCTCTTTGCTTTGTTATTGGTTGGAAGTTGGCAAGAAAAATATACTGTTAGCTACTCCTGCCTTATGCAGTGATGAGCTAGCTACATACTTCCCAAAAAGATATGCACTTGTTTTGGTGTCAGAAGTGGTTCTTAGAGGAGTTGACTGCTAGAGACCACCTGTCAATCACACCCTTCACACCTGGGTAGCTAACACTTTCTTGAAGATCAGCCTGAGTGGCCTATCTGAAGGTGGTTCTCTGCCACAACTCCATATCTCAGCAAAGAAGTGATGATTTTCTGGTTACAGTAACAAGCAGCAGTTAAGATCAATGGCAGCTGCACGTCAGTAACCCCACTTCTAAACCAGGCCTCTCATTAGCATCCCAGCTCTGGTAACTGCACCTCCTCAGCTATAATTCAATCCCTAAATGCTTTAGACAGCCCTTAATCACCGGAGAGAGTAGGTTTCCTAAAACCCTATGTAAGGTCAGCAGGTTTCTTTATCCAGAGAGCTGGTGTCCGAGAAGCCTGGCAGCCCCACCCAGCAAGCAGAATGTACAGCTTTGTGTTATGGGCACTGAACACAGCCTCTTCCTTTGACCACTGTCACATCTACCCAAGATGTACCCTCTGGCCCCTGGCTTTCCTCATTCTCATCTCTAGGGTCTCTCCTTCAGGAATACCTGACTATGCTGTGTGACAGCCACCATGCTTCTGTCTCACAGCTTCATATCATTTCTTTGTGTATGTGTTCATATATGTATGGGCACATATGTGTGCAGGAGCATGCATGAATATGTTGTGTCCATTTGGAGGTCAGAGAACAACCTTGGCAGTTTTTTTTATCAGGGGATATCCACTTTGTTTTTTTTATTTGTTTTTGTTTGTTTGAGACTAGGTTGGCCTAAAATTAACCAAGTAGGCTAGAAGCTGGCCAGAGGGCATTAGAGCTTTAATTTTCATGAAATTCCTGAGAGGAGCTAAGCAAGTGTCCATGTCCAGCTCTTTGATTTGATTTTAATGTGGACTCTAGGCATTGGACACAGGTCCTCACGTTTGTATAGCAAACATCTTAACTGATGAAAGCATCTCCCCAGAGAGCCTCATATTCATTCTCAATAGCACTTGCCATAACTTTAGGTCATCTTATTTCAGTTGAACTTTCTCACTCTAGGATGCAAAGTCTATTCAGACAGGGCCCCTGCCTGTCATGAGCACTGCTATATTTTCATCAGGCAGCTGGACTCAGTAGATAAATGAATTGTTGCTGGAGCTGGTGAATAGCAAGTCACAGATGAGGGTAGTGCTAGGAACACAGTAGGGACTCCATAATGACTTGAATAATGAAAATCAATGCCATGTCTGGGAACTGTGAGTGTGTGTGTGTGTGTGTGTGTGTGTGTGTGTGTTGGGGTAAATTTAAAAATTTTAAGATGCTAAGTGATGACTGTAAAGAGATGAGTGAATTCTCTGAACTGTAGTGAATTCTTTTTGGCCTCCTTTATAAACATGTCTTCTGAAAAACTTGACTTAACCTATAGCCCAAAGCTCCAAGGAAGCCTTTATCAACTCTTTCTTCCACGGCAGCTGGATAAAGAGGCAAGGGAGCAGGGATGGGGCATGAGAAAGCAAGAAAACTGGACTGTCCTATATGAGAGTCAAGAAAAAACAAACAAAAAATGAGAATTTCTTGTTGGGGAATCAGATTTCCCAAATCAGAGTCTGTTCTGGGTGGAGCAACTGGAGGTATTGAGTCTGCAGAGAAGACATCTCTTTCATGAACCAAAATTAGACCAATAACAAAGTGAAAGGCTAATACTTAGAAAAGAATGTTTAAACATGTCTGTTATTACAAGGGAAGCTTCACAATCAGTGTCAGCTATGAAATTAACAAATTGGCTGCTGTGATAAACACTGCATGGATCTAGCAATTCATGATTGAAAAGGTTTTAGCTTAAGAGGAGGAAAATAGAATACATTGAACTTGAATAGGGCAAAAATCAATTTTCTTTTTGAACATCTTTCAGCTGTACCTGAATTTTGGCCATCCTCTCACTTAAAGTAGAAATTGCTGACTAAAAGATGCACATTTCATACAAGGTTGCAGATTAAAGACTGAAAATATTTGCCTTCTAACAGTGGAAGTTAGTGCTCTGTGGGTTTTTCATCAGTAGGACAAACTTAAAGGCAGCTAGTGCATATATATAAACTTTAGGCATATATATATATGCTATAAAAGTAAAAAAAATTAACATGCAACTCATGCAAATAATACTGAGAATTAAAGATTCTTATATCTGCAATAATTTCAGAACCAGAAATGTTCTGTATCAAAAATGATCATCTTAAAGGTTTCTGTGTCAGAAGCTCATTATCACAGTTGGAGTAGAATGCATGGAAAAACCAGGTTAGCCTCTGCCCTTATAGTTTTGTCTAGAGAAAGTTACCCAAGAACTCCATGCTCCAGTTTCCTCTTCTATAAAGTAGTGGTGCTCAGCTGTGGATTAGTTTGAAGTTTGACTGTGAAGATTCAGGTGAAATACTCAGAACAGTCTACGAAGAAACCTGTAACTTTGGGGACAGATAGTGTCAGGGCAGTGATTCTCAACCTGTGGGTCACAATCCCTTTGAGGGCTGAAATGACTCATTCACAGGGATTGCCTAAGACAATCGGAAAACACAAATATTTACACTGCAATTCAAAACCAGTAGAAAATTACAGTTATGAAGTAGTCAAAGAAGAAGAAAACAATTTTATGGTTGGGGGGGGGTCACCACAACATGAGGAACTGTATTAAAGCATTTGAAAGACTGAGAACAGCTGAGAACTCTCTAGAGAGTTTAATTTTACAAAGACACTTTATAACATTAAAGTCACGTATTGTTTAGCCTTACCCAATCTACTGGACCCTCAGCTGACTTTGTGGTCATTTCTCTAGAAGCGACTGTGTGGTCTCTGCTTACACAGAAGTAGAAACCGTGTCACCTGTGAGCAGCTTTAATTATCATGAGGTTTCTGAGAGCTAACCTGGTTTACTCTCTGTTCTCAGAGCCATGGTCCCAGGAGCCTGCATTAGAGTGAGAGCCATTTCTATGACAGCTGCCAGGGATCTGAGTGTGACTTGATCTTCCCAATAATAAGACTTAAACAGTTCAAGGAAGCAAGACTTTCTAACTACTTTGATTTTACAGCAACCCACACTTAGAAAGAGTAAGAATTTCCATACAATGTCTAGAAAAACTACATATAGTACTTTAAAATTCAAATGAATGTTACAATTAGGTATCTATGTATTTCTTCAAAAGGCACACCTGTCAGGTAGTACAGGAAGTCTCATCATCTTATAGAATTTATTTTCTGCCTCCAAATTTTGTCAACACATTAAGGTAAGAACTTTCTTTGTTCAGGAAGCAACAGTTGGATGAGGACATGGGTTTAACGGAAAAACAACAGTGGAGGCAAAAAGGTTATTTTTGTAGCCAACATAATTTTACTTCTACACAGAATACATCTTTACCATTTTTGCTGTTATTATAAGGAAGGGAGAACATTCAAATGCTGTAAGGCCAAGTAGAGGTAAGAGAACAATGATTGAGCCAATAAGAGGGAAATGCCATGGCATTGTCCTGGATCCTCTCAGAAATGGAGACCACCTGAGTTATGACCCATTTACAGACTTGTCTTAATATCCTGTATCTAAACAAAACTACTTATGAAGGCACACCAGAAATAAGCATGATGCAGAGTGATAGCTCAAGCCATAGACACTGCATATGAGTGTTGTCAATGTCTGCATTCAGCAGAAGGTCTGCCTCTGCCAGTGATCTTCATTTCCTTATTTATCCTCATCGGAGGGCTCATTTTTCTGAATCAGCCACACTTCATTATTTCTATCAAGTAACTGGAAAGGACTGCTGTAGCCTGCAGTGTAAAAGACCTTCTCATTGAAAACTTTTCCTTCTTCCCTCAGAATGTTTGCTAATGTCAAAAGTTGTTCTTGATTCTTTTGACCACTGGAGAATCCGTCAAAAGACCTATGGATGAAAAAGCGATTCAGATGAGAAAACAGCAGGGTCTGGGGCCCTGATGCTGAACGATCTTCATACCTAGACTCATAATAGTTTACCTAGGAGAAACTCAGGAGGACAATCAAGTCCCATCCTTTGACAGATTTAGAACTTCCATCTTCTTGTGTGGAGTATTATATAAAAAACTCATCCTAGAACCTTATGAAAGTGTATATTGAGAGTGTCTAGGATACAGCTCGAATGCATTACTAGGAACGTTCCAGAAACATACCAATGCTACAATTTAGAGAACCATTCAGAAGCCCCCTCACATGCTCACTCCTCTTCCACATGCCAAGTAAGTCCCCTGTCTCCCTCCCACCCCTTTCTCTTCCTTCCTTTGTTCTCTCTTGTATACAATTTAGGCTGCTCTGAAAGTCACCATGCAGCAGAGATTCTTGATATATAGCTCAGGCAACCTTTAGAAGCACTGTGTAGCTGGGGCAAGCCTCAAATTCACGATCCTCTTAACTCAGCCACCTCAATGCTAGTGTTATGGGAGTGTACCATCAAGCCTAACTTCAATTGTGTTGTGTTTCATTTGTTCTGTTATTGTTGCTGCATACTTCTTAGCTGCTTAGGCTGTGTCAGAACTCTCAGGCTTAGGTTTAACTTCTGTCTCAGCTTCCCAAGACCCCGGGAATATAAGAGTGTGTCCACAGACCTGAGTCAGACATTCACTTAAAAGCTTTCCCCTTTTTCCTCTTCTGGGTCAAAGAGTACACAGTGGGTTACAGATAATCACAATATAGTTATGGTGACTATACATTCATAGCCCAATGAATGAGGTTAACATTTCGACAGCATTAAGCATCCTAAGAAATACTTTAACAGAGACAGGACCTGAGAAATCCTAAGGATTAAGTCCAGGCTAATGGCTGTCTTCTGAGTTGGTCTTGGAATGAAAGATGATTTTCCCAAACAAAGAAAAATGGAAATGACAATATTGCACAATACTGTTAGAGTGAGGCATAAAATGAGGTCTAAAGGGAGAACTGAAGCCAGAAGCAAGTTTACATAGAAGCCTATGGCCTTCTAGCAAAAAGGAACCTGATCAGATCTGAATATGAACAGAGGCCAAGAGTTAGAACAGATTAGAGGGATGGAGCAGCTAGCTACAAGGATGGAATGGTATAATGGGAGATATCTTGAAACAAGACATATTTTGAATACAGTGCTTGGTCTGGCTTGTTCCTGGGCAGCCACCATTTTCCTGCTACTCTGGCTCTGACTGCAGCTCTGGCTATCTAGAAACAGCAGCCCTGGCACCCATGAGATGCCCACATGGTAACTGGTTCTGCCAATCTACCATGCTGCCCCCACAACGCTTGGCTGAGCCCAGACCATTCCCACTGTGCCCGCGGTGCCTAGTAGAAATGAGACTCTTAAAGCTTAATGATTATCCAATGGATTTATTATATATTTGGAAATACTCAATTAACAAGATGCTCACACAATGCAGAGAGCAATAACAAGGGCTAGGCCATCCCAGAAGCTCCCTACTACAGCCTTCCCTAATGGAACTGTGGGAGAGGACACCAGATTAGAAGAGTGACTGGTATGCACTTGTAGCCTGAAAGAATCTGCAAGGAGGTGATTCTAAACATAACAACTTTACTGGGCTTGGGGGCACCCAAAGTCACGAGATTCGGATATGTTGGGTATTGAGGGCCAATGGACCCAGGCAGGCATAGCCTTGAGTCAAGAAAGCTATCTAAAGCCTTGGTTGGGACCCATTACTTTATCTTCTCTGTTTTTTTTTTTTTTTCCATTTGAAAGGGGGAATGTACCTACACTTCAACTCAAGTAAAGGTACTTAAACAGAGACACTCCACAAATCAAGTGAACAATGCATGCCATTGTTGAACTCATTCTGCTAATAACCAGAAAAGGGTTAGTTTAAAATAACTCAAGATATCTTAGCTTTAAATTACATAGGGAGTGAAAGAGTGTTTATGCCAATATTTCTTTTCTTTTCTTTCTTTTTTTGGTTTTGGTTTTGGTTTTTTTGAGACAGGGTTTCTCTGTATAGTCCTGGCTGTCCTGGAACTCACTCTGTAGACCAGGCTGGCCTCGAACTCAGAAATCCGCCTGCCTCTGCCTCCCAAATGCTGGGATTAAAGGCGTGCGCCACCACCACCCGGCAAGAATATTTCTTACTAGGATTGTCACCTATAGAAAATATTCAGTGCATTCTGCTTTTCATAATTGATTTCCTTTAATTCAAGAAAATGATGTGTTTCTTTTTGCATATCTCCACAGAAAGTTTCTTCATTAAATTGTACAGTGCATTTCAGCTGCAATAAATGTACTTAAACAGAGATGCTCCACAAAGCAAATGAAATATGCATGCCCAGTTAGGACTCATTCTACTAATAATCAGAAATCTATTTAAATAACTCGAGATATCTCAGATTTAAATCACTAAGGCGGTAAAAGAGTGTTTATGCAAAGAGAAAAAGAATGTTTCTTACTAGGAACATCACCTTAGAAAGCATTCAGTGCATTCTGCTTTTCCCAGTTGCTTTGTTTTTTTTTTTTTAACGCACATAGTCACAAAATGTTTTTTCATTACATTGGACAGTCTCTCCCTTGCTTGTTACATTGTTGTACAAACCCATAGCTTATTTGACTTTTACAGGTCCAAAGCTAGAGAGAATTTGCCTCGAGATGAATCATGCCTTGAGTCGCAAGGCAGATTTTATTTGGATGTTATTTAAATGAGTCTTTTGAGTCAATACTGAAATAAGCTAAGATTCTGGGGCTAGTAAAATGCAACTGGATACATTTTTGTAAGTGAGAAGACCCAAATTTTCTCCAATTAGGGACAGAATGCTGTGGACTGAATGTCTGTCTCTCAAATTCATATTGAACTCCTAATCACAAGCCGGATAGTTTGAAGAGCTTCTGGAGGGTGGTTAGAGCCTGGGGGGTTTGAGTCCGTATGAAAGGGATTATCATCCTTACAAAGGAGAGTCAAAGGTGCTTATATGAATTAGGAAATGGTCCCTAGCCAGTCACTAAAACTGTCAGTGCCTTGAACTTGAACCTAGCTTCTAGAAAGAACTACAAAAAGCAAACTTGTGTTTGTGGTAAGCCACAGAGTCTATAGTATTTGTTGTGGCAGCCCAAACAGACACCATTATTGTTTAGGTCTATCTATTTTGTAGGAAAGGACAGTCTTGTGCTCTGGATGATGTAATTTGGGCTATGTTTTATATGTGGAAGGTGTACAATTGACCTCTCAATAAATCGATTCTATCTTGCAATAGACTTCAGTGACATTTTAAAACCAAGACAGTAGGAAAACACCATGAAATATAGTAGACTTTTCTTTGGAAGGGTGAAAAGCTTGCTAAAATTGCATAGGAGCAAAATGGTGAATGCACACATGTAAAACCAGCAGCATGGCTGTGAATTATCTACCACTTACCGCACGAAAACTGTCATCTCAGCTCTGTCTTCAATGAAGACATCTGACTCTGAAGGCCTGGGTGGATCAGGTTGCTGCTCAGAGGGGATGTACAGGGAAATGGTAATGGTAGACTCACTGAATGGACTTGAGCCAGGCTCCACATAACTGGTCACTGGAGCTGTCAGCTTGATTTTCATCTCTACATCATGAAAAAATTGAAAGCAAATTTACTGGGTTCCTGGCTAATACAAAGTTTCTAATCTATTTTATGTGAATTTCTTGATTTCCTTTACAGTATTACTATAAATATGTGTCCCTGAGATGTCTCATCTTTTTTAAAGGGTAGTGGTAGAATGACACATTACATTAAGCATTTTCTATAGTGTTTTATTCTTCGGTTAATGAATTATATATTTTTAAACATAAAGAAAAAATTACAGAAAAGATAGGTCAATTAATTATTTTTTTCTCTATATATCAGAAATTGTGATTCTAAGGCTAAGAGACTTGCAACATCTCTCTCTCACACATTCACACACGTGCGCGCGCGCGCACACACACACACACACACACACACAATTGTGACTTGAGGCTCATGCCCTTGCACATCTTCCTATCCTTTGATAGCACTATCAGTCACTAATTATTACAGGCTTTTGGTACAGGAAAGGACTTCTCCCTAGTTACAGAGTCCCATTACATCTCGCAAAAATGAGGAAAAGTAGAGCTGTTGGCAAGCAGAACCCAGCAGCACCTTCTTGTAGCTACTCTTGAGGCCAATCGTGAAGTTTTGGGCATTAGAGTTTTGGGCATCTGGTTATTTTTCTATTAAATCTATTCTATTTCTATTTCTATTAAATCTATTAAAAACAGATTTCTTTAGTAAACTAAAACTCAGGATCTTGAAGGCTACTTTTACCTTTCTCATTTTTGCCTTGAATGTAGCCTTTCAATTTTGCGAAACCAGTTTGGATGGCTGAATCCCAGTCCAGAGACTCCACGCAAGTGCTGACCCACTTAGCTGGTCCGTAGTGTCGGATCTCATAACTTCCTGGCTAAAATGGTAAAAACAAAACAAACAAAAAAACTTAGAGAAACAACTCATGAACATCAGCAACTCATGAATATCAGGAGTCAGCAATACAAGATCGGGGACCAGATACCCCTAAGGACGCGTTACAAGCATTTCTTAAATCGAAGTGCTGGGTCCATGTAACGACCTCCCTACCCTGGCCCCTGGTCGCCTCATGACAGGAAGTGGATGTAGGGCTCTGTGGGGGTGGGGGGATGGGGAGGCGGGTGGTCAGCTAAACAACGCTTCTCCTGGTTTGTGCTGGATCGAAAAAAATACTTTTTTTTTTTTTTTTTTTTTTTTAGCTTAACTCTAAGGATCTTCATGTCAGCTTAAAGTAGCCCAGATGAGTCTTTGCGGGCTCTGGAAGACTCCTACCTGGGGGTCTATGTCCTCTGGAGCCTTCCAGCTTGGCATCTCCATGGCCTGCTCCTCTGAGCCCTCGGCCACCCCGAGGTCTGGCTCTTCTGCAATGGGCAAGACCAGCTTGTGAGAGTTGCGCCCTGTCTATGTCCACCGGCCACCTTGTTCTGAGTCCCCGACCCAACGACGCACGCACCCACGGCCCTGCAGCCCTTACTGCTGGTCCGTAGGACATTCTCCATCTGAGCCGCAAGGCGGCGTCCGGATCTTAAGGGAGCCAAGTCCCCACCCGCGGCTTGCGCCAGCCCTGGCCACACCCCTCTGCAGGGGTATGGTCAGGATCCGGCAGCTAGTCAGACTGATCCGGTTGACTCCTAGTCACCGGCTCCCCTGCTGAGTCCCTACCTCCCAGCTTCGTTGTATTGCAGAGCTGGATTGTGGGCAGTGGTGGGCGGAAGGCTGAGTAGCTGCTAGCTCGGTTTCTGTGGAACCAGTCAGGGCACCCATTTAGGGCGCCTCTCCCTAGACTGCAAATGCTGCCATCGCCTCTGCAAAATCCGCAGAGAATCGCTTGCCCCAGAACTTCCTCGGCGGAGCAGCTAGCACTCTGACTCCTGCTGCGGGATCAGCAGGCCGATTTATACTAGAAGAGCATCCAGGGCCCACAAACAATTTTCAGGTTTGCTCAATGTGGAAAGTCAATGGAGACCCAGAGTCTTTGGGAGTCTTGGGCTATCTGCTTCCTTGACCTTTTTCAGAACCGACCTAAAACATCTGAGTCATCCCATCATCCTTTGGGGATGAACGAGAAAATGCACTAGTGCTTTATATATATTTTGGCTAGGCTTCTTACTTTTCCCAAAAGACTTATTGAAATAAATTTATATATAACTCATCTCTTTTTTTTTAAAAAAAAATTCTACCAAATTGATCATATCCACCCTTCAACTCCTGAAAACATGCCCCACCCCTTCCCACCTCATCACATCTTCCTTCCAAAATTCTTTTAGTATTTATTTAGCTCACTGGGTTTAGCTAATGCTATTTTCATGCACTTAGGCTGGAGTTATCTGCTGAGGCACTGGGTGATGTTCCATGGGTGTGTGGAGAGGTATGGGGGAAGGGGATGTCTCAGCGGACCCATGCTGAGGCATCTCTTTCCCCTGAGGGAAAGAGTCATACACTGGTATAGCATAGAATAGAGTTTATTCAGGGCATGAGGAGGGGAGACAGTAGCGCAGTAGAGGCAGAGAGCGAGAGAGCGAGAGAGCGAGAGAGCGAGAGAGCGCGAGAGCGAGAGCGAGAGCGAGAG